ATTTTACCTGGAGAGCTTAAAAAAACCCGCTGACAATAAGTGATATAGAATTATAAGCTTTGCTATGAGCACTTTCATATCTCCATATAGGCTCACAAAACACTTCTCCTGTCTCCTTGGCAGCTTACTACAGAACATATTTTTTTTAAGTAAATTATTCACTTACCTTCAGAGTAACTGCAGTTGCCTTGATAATAAAATCATTTACAGATACTTTAATGTCATCTGCAAAAAGAAAAAAAAAAAACAAAACAAAACAATCACTGCTCCTAAGAACCGTTTATCAGCATTTGTGCAACGACAAGATTCAAGTGGTTCAACAGATTTGCTTCTTTGAAACATTGCCAGAATGTAAATCATCTTGAAGCCATAAAAATAAAAGCAAGAAAACTTTTCTCCCCCTTGAGACAAAAGGAGTAGCATCAATGAAAAGTCTCCTGAGCAGAGCCATTCTTGCTAGCTGTTACTAGATGGTTAAGAGAGCCGCAAACCTGAGTACTACTGCCCTTAAGCAGCAGCCCATATGTGCTTTATGCTTTACATACTTACTGTCTATGTAGAAATCTATTGTAGGATCTAAATATGCAGACACAACACTGGAGACTACTATTCTTTATGTAGTGTGACTCATTAACTGGAACAATTACAGAGAAAAGCTTTTATTCAGCTATAAATCAGAAGTATGTAATTCTCCAGTGACCTTTGGGGCCTTATAGTGTAAGAATTAGCAAGGGAAGGCATCTGTCAATTCCTTTAAATGGGTTAACCATTTATCTAAAACAGGCTGTAAAATAATAAGTGACAAAGTTGTTACATTAAACGCAAAGCAACACAAAAAAAGACAGTATTAGCCAGAATTAGGTAAAACAACCTTGAGAGGACTGGAATTTTTTGATGTGAGCCTCAGAAATACTGCGTAACACGTAGCACATTTGTTCCTTTCCCCAAAAGCTCGAGACAAAAGAGGGATGAAAACAATGGCTGTATTTGCTCTGCACTGTTTTTTTCCAAGTTTTAGGAGACTGAAGTACTAACTAAAATCAGGACTGGCAGCAGAAGCAAAGACAATAGATATAATGCAGAATATGCCACAAGTTCTACAAGATTATTACAAGGATGCACAATATTTACACAAAATTAAATTTATCACATTAAAAAAACCTACATTACTCTGCTACCATCATCACGGCTGTCAGCTAAACAGATCAAGAAGCAAATCACTTCATGTTCGAGTCTGGCTGATGGCATGTAACCCACATACCTTTAGAAGTGGTTTTGTAAACGGAAAACTATTTATAGATAATTATATTAAGTGAAAGCTTCTTGAGTAATCATAAATCTGGAGGAATGAACCACGTATCTACTTATCACGTAACTGACTTGCCACGTTTGCCGTGATTCACAATCTACACACGAGCAGAGTGCCAGAATTCTAACATCACACAATGGAATTTGCAAGTACTGGGTTGCATTGTCAGAAGTTCACATCAGACAAACCTGTATCTTCGTCATCAAATATATTTTGTATTTTATATTTTGATTTATGTACACATTCTTAACCCTCGGCAAAAATGTCACTGTCCACTAGAGGGCGTAAATACAGTGAAAATGCAGGACTACAGTTAAATGAACTATTTCTGATAGTATTTGACCCTCAATCATGGAAGTTTACAGTAAGGAAAATTGCCATACTTTACTCCCAAAACAAAGAAGCTTACGGTAGGGAATGCTGCATAAAACTTCCACATTACATCTCATTACATAGTAGAAAACACCATCATTTCCATCAGAAAAAAAAAAAAAAAAAAAAAAAATTACCAGAACCATCTCTCCAATTCAATTTTATGCAAAGACATATGGCTCTTTCCCACCCCTACATTATACAAAAAATATTCATTAAGAATCCACAGGAGCAGGAGAGATGAGAAAAATTTTAAGTGAGCATTCCTACTCATTTTTTACTTCATTTCTTATGACCTGCTGCTGTTTAAAGAAAATATCACCATCATAAATAGTCTTTGCCATTAACATGTGAGTAAGATACCACTAAAAAACACAGGTAGGCAAATGACCTGGGTACTCCCTGCACTAAAAATTAGCCATTCAAAACGCTAGTGAAAGGAGAAGCAGCTCCTGGATCATCAGCTAGAAAACCTGAATACACCAGTCTAATTTAATTTAGGACCTCACGAAAGGATAAACAAGCATGGGCTAGCCACCAGTATATGGCAACAGCCCTCCACCATTCTAGTTCCCAGGTGTACAGCTCTGCGACACTAAGCTGAGAGAAAATTCACTCACAGGGTGAAGCCTTGGGAACAGCAAATGACCAAAAGTACCCCAACACTGCTGGAGGGCTTATGTCTTGTGCTGTAGTGCCACATCAAGAGATCTCTACATTGGAATATCCCCAGGAAAGACTAAACAGTCTAAATTGCAAGAAATACCTGGCTGCAAGCAGATCTTGGTAACATCACAAGAACATGGGTCAAGGAGAGAGGAAAGAGTACCAACTTCTTTTCCAGACAAACATATCAGCACACAAAAACACTTCTCTGTCTAAAACACAGCTGGTGCCTCTGTATGCAAAGCCTTTCAGGGCTGCCTTCATGAGGCTGACCTTGAAAAGCCCTTTTACACAGCCCCATGACAACCTGTTCACATGAAGAAATTTAACTTGAGCTTTGAAGATACATTTTGATGCTGTACTGTGACAATAACAAAGTTGGTTTTACCCTTGCCCCAGAGGCAAAGCTTTCAGTAAGTCAAAAATCCTTCTACTGTGGAGCACTAGAACCTACATGACCCAAGTGGGTGAACCCTATTAAAGATTTAAGCTGGAGGAGACGCCACATATAAAAGCTACAGTATGATCCCAGGGTGGGGGCAACAACAAAAACCCCACCTACCTGCAGCTGTAGCAGCACACAGTGACTCAGATTGCCAATGGGCCTGCCTTTCCCCAAAGACAAGAAAATCACTCATTCAAGTTACGTCAGCCTTGGTACACAAAACATTTACAGATGGGACCAAGAAAGCTTCTGAAGACTCAGGCACTCTGTCTAAAAGGTGTCTACAACACCTTTTTTTGGAAAACAAAGAAACAACCAACAACAAAGCCCCCCAAAATCCATAAAGGCTAAAGATACCTTTCAACTCTTGTTCTATTGCTATTCCTCTTCATCAGGCTAGAAAAACCCCAACAAACAAACAAAACTCTTAAGAAGAAATAAAGACAGGTAAACAGCACCAAAACCACTTTGGTCTAACCACTCAAAGATTTCATCATAATTTGCTCGAACAACTAATTGTGGATCATCACCCAAAGCTACAGTAATAAAAATATTATTTTAGGATTACAAAATCACAATGTGTCACTGGTCAGAAGTATTTGTGTCTTTGGAGTCTGTATTTCATGGACTTAAACCTGACAGCTGTCTCCAGAGTGACAGAAAACCATATTTTGCTCTCTACCAAATTATTCGTTACAGAGAATTTATATAATGCACATCATGCAATCAGTACTTTGCACCCAAGAATAAAGGGGCACACGAAAGAGTGCATCTCCCTGGAATACCAAGAAATGCCAACTCTTACCTCCCTGTGCACTGGTACATGTGCCTTATCAATGAAAGATTCACACCCATCCATTTTCCAAAGTTTGGTACCCAGCTCTTTCAAGACTGAAAAGGGATGTGACATCCAGGTATCTAGTCACAAAACCACAAAGTGTTTTATTACTGCTCACTGCAAGCTAGAAAAAAAACACCCTCTCCCCTTCTTTGACACCAGTCCAAACTCAATCTTCTACCTCTAGGATGCTCAAAGACACTTCAAGTTGCAGATAACCCAAAAGATCACCTGAAACACTGTTCGGACTCATCATGTCTATGAAACCAACAGGCTATCTTTCAGATTTGCTTTAACTCATTTGAATTACCAGTAAAGCCTCAAATGAAAACCAAGCTTTTTTAATACAAATCGTACTTAATTAAAGTACTGTGTTTCCAACTATGTATAAAAGAATAAACTCAACGTAAATAAATAACAGAATTTCAAATAGCCATGATACACATTTTTTCCAGACTGTCATTGAAGGTTTCTCTAAGACATTGCTTAGCTACTGCAATTTGACACATCATTGCCTTAGAATTACAAATAGTCACTTTTCATTACTGTGGTAGTGTCTAAAACAGCATACACTATTAATTCTATTTCTATGACTTAGTTTAATAATGAGGATACACCTCTAAAAGCTGAACTATTGAGAATAAATGATTTAAACAGTACCAGAAAAAAGGACTAATTGAACAACACCAAAAAGAATCCACAGGAGATTGATTATGCACCTGCCTCTTCTGTAGACAGCTGTGTTCTCCCATGAAAGTCTTTAGTCTTTAGAAACAAACTTTGGTCTTTAAAAAAAATGTATAGTAGAAGAAAAGAAAATACTGTCTCTCCTCATTATAAAGTAATGGGCCTTCAGAATTTTTCACCTGAGTAACAGCCTCAGCAGCAGGCTATGAGGTGTATGGGTGCACATCACCTTCAGCAAACAGAACTTTGCTGCTTGCTTAAGCAGCCTGAACAGCATGGAAAATGAGATCTCATAAAATGGAAAGAAGGGTGAATGACAATTAAATTTCAGAAGTGGCAGCGACTAGTCTGCATGCCTGGAATAGTACCCAGGCTTTGCAGGTATTGAAAAGGCAAGTTTTTAAACAAATAAATGATTCTTTCACCAGCATAATTAGCTAAACCTGTCAAAAGAAGAAGTAATCAACATTTTCCAAATTTGATTTGAATAGGGATCTCTCCTCTAAAAGAATGAGAATTAATTAAAAAAGCTATGCCTAATTAGTTTGGCTGCAGCTGACAAGCAGACATCAACTGCTCTCAGCCCATTTCCCGCAGCTAAACCACAACAGATGTGATGTCATTTTAGGCAGGGATCAGACATTGCCAATTCAATAAACAATACTGCTAGCCCCAGACACTAGAAATAAACATTATTCTTTGTGAAGAATACGCCTCATTTTCTAGAAATTTAGACCAGAAGAACCACCTACATATACTGCGGTCAACCATACCACATGATCTTGACTAACTTATCAAGTTCTGCCTTAAAACCAGACAGGTTTCCTGAGAAGTCTGCTCTTCCGGGACAGCTGCAGCCAAATCTCATCTCCAGTGTATCAGAGCTCGAGTTGCAGAGACACAGAGCAGGCATTGCCGACACCCAGGCCTACTGCCCTTCCCCCCTCAGCTGCTGCTGAGGACTGTAAATTTATTCATTAATTTTTTCCACAGCTTACTGGATAGGTGACAGAGACACAACCTTGCTAAGAAAAATAGTCTTACAGCGCAAAACTGCTCAACAATTCTCTCTCTGATCCGATTTCTAAATTCTTGTTCAAGATGCGTATCTAATGGAAAATAGCTTGTAAGTGCGATGGAAAAAGAAACATTATGTCACAAAATAAGTTTTTCCTCAAGCTTAAGTATCTCAGAGTCAAAAGACAGAACTTTTAGAAAATCCTCTGACTTAAGGTGAGTTACTGAAGGGCAAGATGCCCTAGACTAATACAAATCTATCCTACTCGGCTCTAAATCTGCTTGGTTAAAATAACTTACAGATGTTAAAGCTTTATGAAAACATTTGTTTCCATATTTCTGATACTGGCATTTATAAATAGATTGCACTGTGTTGGCGTACTTTTTACAGATATTAAACAGCTACCAAATAAAAAAAAATTAAAACAAGAAAGACGGAAAAATGCTAGTACCTGCAGGCAATTGCAAGCACTGCCCTAATATAAAACTATGCTTTCAAGTTTCCACAGGCTTTGGTTTAATACCTTCACGAACTATGGAAGTGGAGCTATTTTCTGTAGACAACATCAAAATCAGTGTATTGACCAAATATTTCTAAATACAGTAACAATTATTTAAATGAAGACAATTATGATAAAGCAATAAAAATGTTCATTCCGGTTTTTTACCCGACTAAGGTAGAAGCCCTCAAACAAAAAGACACTGAGCAAACAATGCTTTGGGGATATTTTGCATGAAAATGAAGCACCTGCCTGAAGAGTGTTCTACTGAACAATCCTCTTGGCTTTTCTAAATGCATGTCATATATACTTTGTTGAACTGAGATTTGGGAAAGCAGATTCTAGTCTGCATGGCTAATTTTGAAACTATTAAAATATCCTATTGCATAGTACACTCAGCTGATTGTAACAAAAACCAAAAAAAACCCTTTGATTAAGACCTTATCTTTTGAGAAGTTTTTCTAAATAAGTCAATTCAGTGAATACAAGTTGAAACAAAAAGGGGATATTTAATTTCTTAATCTTATACATAAGCATTTCTGTATAAATGACACCGGATGCATTATGAAAATTAGGATTTACACATATATAGAGAGATTTATAGCTTTTAATCCAATTCTCAATGTGTATTTTAAAATTATCCAGTTTTCTGTGGGACAGATTGCTATTCCAACAGCTTAACATAGCTTTAAGCACATCTATAAGTTCCAGTGAAAGAGATTCACATTAATGCCATTACTTTGCCTTCAAGAGGCATTTACGATGCATTGGCTGGTGTGTGCCAAAAACTCACTTTCCTTCCTCACCATGGATAAAGCCATTCTCACCCAGAACCTGAGAGGCTGCACTAGCTTTCCTTTTCGACAAAACTAAATTTTAACACCGCACTTAGAAAGACAGAGCATGAGTTTATTTTAATTTGAAGCTTCCCCTGTTATCTTTCACATGAATAATCTGAGCTTCTAACCACTGAGAAGCTAAACGTGCTGCATCTGGATGGAAGGAACAAAACCCGACTTAATAGTGCGTAGTCCTGTGTTAGACTGCAGCTGTCTACAGAGTATTGTGTTAGCTGGCAAAGCAACATGTGTCTCCCTGTATCTTGGTCAGTTGTCCCATTCAATAATCGTAGGGAAATACAGCTGGAGTCCAACATACAGAACACCAGAAACGATTATTGGAAGGCACAGCGCTCTGCCTGTACAAAAATTTGCTCCTCCTGGGCAAGATTATGTAAACAAGACAAACTAGGCAGTAGTACCACATGTTACAGTAAATCAGTTCAATCACTAACCTTTGGCCAATTCTGCTCTCAATTGCAAAACAGCACCAATGTCACAGTCAGCAGCAGCATATGCATGAGGTATAGTAGTTTTAGACTCCGTTAATCTCTTAGCAATAACTCTTCGGATGTTGCTAGCTGGGATTTCGGTGAATGTGCCCTAAAAGAAATCATACGGTGCATATTAAATATCAAGAGAGCAAACATACTTCCCCTTCGCAGAAATAGGGCTTCAGCATTGATGCGTTAGCTCACTTTAAATATCCCCCAGATATCCAAGAGAGAGACACTCCAATTACTGAAACTGGTATGATTAAGACCATTGAGTGTTCCAGTCTGTTCCACTTAACTTGGATCAACACAACATGTTTTAGAAAGATAGGTTCACTTTACAATATAGAATTAATCCTACTATTCTAGCAGACTGCCTAAAAAAAAAAAAAAAATTCCAAATATTCAGGCATTAATTCTCAGCCAAAGTATATAAGCACTGCTCCATCTGCCAGGCCTGGCATATAGAACAAAGCATATTCTGAGCCATATAGTATCTGCTCCATCAGCTACTGCTTTTTCAGTTCCCCGAATGGTTCCTTATGACCAGCTTTACTGCTTATCTCTTTTGTTACTCTTTTCTCTCCTTCCAGATATACTCAGTCCTGTTTCAATGCAGAAGTTTTCCCAACTTCTCCATGGAAGGAAGTCCACTTTCAAGGAACCTCTTGATTGGTGACTACAGAAAGCGACAAGCAATTCTGTAGAACATTATTTGTATACCTAATCTATTGCACATACACCACATACCGCACAGTACTCACAAGAAACTGCAGTATGTGTGTTCTGGTGCAATCAGACACTTTTTTTCTGTAATGAAAAAAATATCTAAGTCTGAGCTTTCTGTGCTTTGTTTGGTTCTTTGCACAGTGCAAAGAAAGCAGCATTTTCTGAGTATTATGAATTGCAGCTACGCTGTAAATCTCAGCCTGTAGATACATGAAATTCAGCTCTAAAGCCAGAAAGGTTGCCCCCCCGCCCCTCATTTTTCACAAAAGCTTTTCAATTTATACTAATGTGCATTTCAGCACGGGCATTTATTCTTTCAAAAATAATTTCTGGTATTTCTACCATTTCAATTCATACAGAAGCTGTATTTAGACGCTAGAGTTCGCAAAATTACCCTTCAAAGCAACCACCAAGCCCTTTCCTTCCTCACTTCTTGACAACTGATCAATGGACATTTACATATACTCACTTTGCAGCAAAACGAATGAAGTACAGTAAAAACAAACCAGGATTCAAGTTTCTGCAAGTTTGGAAATACAAATCCTGCAGGGATTGAGGAAAGGGTACATTGTTCATTTCCAAACTAGTGGCACCTTCTTGTTTCGGGACCGAAACAAAACTGCTGCCTCTCTGACTTGCCCCTCCCCAAAGCCTGCCATGTAAATTTTTTCACAGCTTCAGTTTGCAAGTTACACAAACTAGTGGGCAAACCATAATTTCGAGAGCTCTGCAGTTTGAGTTACACTGCATTAGAACCACCCAAACGTACTAAAAACTGTACATGACTGGGCTGGGCACCTGGGTGGCCTCGGTTTCCTTTGTCTCTCCAGTTCTGGAAATCTCATACGGCTATGGAAGTAGCCGCAGCAATAGTCAGCTGTAGCAATGTTGAGGACTTAACAGAAGGTTACCAGTGCAGCAGATTGTCCTGGTGTGGAAACTGGTGGAACTGCTGGCCTTGGATAAGCAGAAGTCGCAGCCGGCGCTTGCGAAGCAGAAGGCACTGCAGTAGGCTGGGGAGGAGCTGGAGAAATCACAGGTTTCAATTCACTGGGTTTGCCCTTCTGCTGCTGTTGCAGAAGTCTGAGAGCATCCCTGTTGATTAAACACAGTGACAACAAAGAAACTGTTTCAAAAATTCCCGAAGTATTACTATTCCCTCACTTATTTTAGTTAATTAGCCACTTCTGTGCATTTACATTTCTGCTGTCAAGCCAAACATTAAGTTGATTGTTATTAACCAATGAATTTTGTGTCTCTTCTGTGATACCTTCTCAGTAAATTCTCAGTAACTTCTGTAAATAAAAGGGCTTGAATATGCAGTAACATGCTTCTCTAATGCAAATGTTGTCTAACATTCGTCATCAGTAATTGTGAGTGTTCAAGTAATTTGTGAATCACACTAACAGTTCTTCTAAATAAGATATCACAGTACACTTACTTAGGCTATAAAATATCAAATAAAAGCTGTTTCATCTGTTATATTTGTAATCATTTGAATCTAATATCATTAATTAGCGCTCACAGAAAATTGAGTAGCACATTTATCACTCATTCCTCTGTACCTTTCTGACATACATATGCACAAACAGGTGTGGATGCTATATGAAGCCATACTTCACAAGCAGTTTGAAAGATAGCACCACACTGAAGAACCAAAGCCAAATACTGAGTAACATCTAACAGCCCCAGGTGTGGCTGGACCTCTTCTACTCTATAAGCATTCTCCCAGGGTTTTATACTGACACAGTGACCATCACAAACCTCCCCTCACATGGGCACAGCACCACAGACATCAGTAAACGACCGTCTTTAAGCTGTAACACTACACCCACCCCAGGTGCATCACATTCACAAACCAACACGCTAACGATTAGCATCCATGAGGCTGAACAGGAAAGAGCATATTTACACCACCACTGCCTATTGTAAGGGAAGTAAGCTGTAGGAAAACCTCTGTTCTGCAGCTGTAACTGCACCTACGCTCCAGACTTGTTGGAAGAGCTGTGTCATTCACAGATCTCCTCTCTTCCTCCAGATCTGATAATGAGTCTGTATCACACACCCTAGATAAATCTATCACTTCATGAAGCCATCACCACAGCATGTACACAAAGGTTTATGTACACAGAATTTTATTAATAAACTGGCAGAGGAAATTAAAAATAAATGTAGAAATTGAACTACTTACAACCACACCATGGCTTCAAAACAGAAGCCGTAAATACAAAAGTCCCCATCCCTGGAGGTGTTCAAAAGACGTATAGATGTGGTGCTTAGGGACGCAGTTTAGTGGTGGGCTTGGCAGTGTTAAAGGTCTTTTCCAACCTAAATGATTCTATGGTTCTATGAAACAACAAAGCTATCCTGTTTCATTAGATTACGGCTTGAGTGAGAGTCTGTCCTTCAGTGAGTCAACAGTTTGTGTGTCATTTAACTTTTGTTGAAAGGACAAAATCTCAGAACAACATCATGCATCCTTAGTTCTTCCTAACAAAGCAGCACTCCGGAACCATGAACCAACAACTGAAAAGCTCTGTATGTTCCATATAATGCCTTCTACTGATCGCTGACTTGCTTCAATTTATTCTCAACTTCAATGCATACTTCAGCAAGTGATAGCAAAAATTAAAAAATGACTGAGCTCAGGATGTAAATTTGTCATTATTAAATTTGTTACTTGTTTTCCCAAATTAACACATTGGCCAATATCTGTTTCAACAATAAGTGTTTAGTATGTAATGTAACTACTATATCAAGGGAAAAAAAATTGTATTTCATTGTATGAAAATCATCCCCTAGTGCTACAGTTTGAGACAAAAAAAGTAACTGCATGACATAATGCAACTTTCCTAGTTAACATACTAAAAGTTACCAAAAATCACTTAAGGGTTTTAACTTGGCAGTCATAAGACTCACCATCTGTTCATTATATTCCATAATACATAAAGCAAAGCTTGTATAGCTTCTTATATATTTTAAAGCTAAGGAAATGCTTTTAAGTTACTTCCATATATTAAGGACGTAACAAAAAAACAAATGGTCCTACCTATCATAGCCATGTCAAAATGCTTTAACGATTTTGGTGGCTTGTAGTGTGTTAACTGAAAAATGTATTGCCAACACTGAGCTTATTTTTAGATTAGAAGATTCACTCAGGAGTTTTTGAAACTCATGCGTGAGTATAAGATATATATATAGAAAGTATACATATATAAAAATCATATTTCATAAATATTTATATTTTAATATATAATATAAATATTTGTTATACATAGGTGTAAAAATGATTTCCCTGCCACCAATTCCACATGATTTAACCACTAAGAAAAACAGGTACAGCAATGTTGTGACTGTCATGGGTGCGAGATTGTGAGCCTGCATCTAAGCAGAGTTGGAGAAGGCACCAAGGCAAATCAAATTAAATGGATTTCTGTACAAGTCAGGCACACAGAGACTTTGTTAGAACTGGACAAGGAAAGCTTGGACACATCTTTCTGCCTACTCTATAACCCTCTATCAACACAGGATAGTGACAGAGAAAGACACACGAGCAGAAGTAACAAACATGAAAGAGAGCACTGTCCTCCGCAGGACAGACACCGCAGCTTGGTAAACAGTAACAAAAATATGCCTGGCCAAATTGTTATTATTACAAGTACACAGGTTCTGGCAATTCTGTTACGCTTCAGTTTACCAGTGCTACAGAAGTGTGTAGCCCTTCCACTTCACATTAGCTAAAATCCAAAGTAAAAGTGGAAGTAAACAGACTAGTTTGTGCTCAAAATATACTTTGTTTGAAAGGACAAGTTACAGGTTATACACACACCTAAAAGTCCCTAAGGATATACCTGTGCAACAGGAGATGCACATATTGACACCGGTTTCCTCTGAGGGCAGCTATTGTTACTGACTCATCCCAATCCCCTTTCACCTGAACATCTGATTACACAGCTCGGAGAAAACTCCCTGGAAGAAGGAAAGCTGTGAGCAGAGAATGTCACGCATCAGAAACATCTAGGGTCAGACTTACTGCACCGTCCACATTACAGAAGGAAGCCCTTCCTCCACAATGGCAGCTGGCAAAGGGGACACAGTGAGGGTGCCGCTGTACGGTACACTGTAAGCCTGCACTTGGTACGCACCCACAAAGTGGCTTGGGGAAGCCAGAGCCACATGTGGGAGCGGGGCCTGGTCCGCAAGTCAAATGCGCCAGTGCCCGAGCAGCTCTGAGGCCCCAGGTCACACTAGCTTAGCAACAACTGGTGGGAGAATATAGATGGCAGCAACGTGGCCTTAGAATAACACAGCTGTTATGGTAACTAGCCCCCTGCCTTTTTGTGGTTGCATTTATGAACCCCTAGATCACTAGTAAATAGGATGAGAAAGGGCAGAAGTAGTCTGAAACAACCAACAATTTTAAAGCTGTCCCAAACACAGCGCCTGAGCTGATGACTAGGAACATGGTGCAATCGTTGACAGCAGCTGTGAGTCACTTTGTACTGACACACCAATTTTCTGAAGTACATTTTTGAAGAAAGCAGAGGATATTGCTAAAAAAAAAAAAAAAAAAAAAAAAAAAAAAAAAGCTCCCACTCCGCAAAAAAAAAAAAAAAAAAAAAAAAAAAAAAAAAAAAAAACCCCTGCCACTCTGCAGAACAAAAACAAGCAGGAAGGCAACAACAGTAATTCAGCCTTGCACAGATACACAAGAGAAATTAAGTGTTAGCCTGCTAAGGGAGTAGATCATGACAGAGAAAGCTATTAAGTGAAAGCTCCTATTGCTGTTTTACAGTGAATTGAATTTAAAGATAGAAAGCTGGGGGAAAAGAATCTTGCTTGCTTACATAACTCACTATCTTTCTTTGTTTCTTGTAATCTGGTGAGTATGAGCCCTGTTCGATAAGAAAATTCAGCTTAAAAGTGAAAAGTGAACTTGCAATGCTCCCTTAAAGAATCAATTGCTAGTCAGCTTGGAAAAGAGCCCATGAGTCACCCGGCTATAAGGCATGGCGTAGATTTTAACAGTAATCTCAAGTTAGCAAAAGAAATATTTCCTCGAATATCTGTAGCAGCTCTCTACAAAAATCTGCACACATTCCATCTCAAACGGAATGTAACAGCAGAGGCTATAGGCATCTGAAAGATTAACACCATCTCAAAAGAATGGTTAAAAAACTCCAGACAGTCTCTATCCTACAATGGCATTTCAAAGTCAAATAATTTGTACGGAGGAAAGCAGTTTTGAAAAAAGATGATTTTGTTAGATAATTCTCACAGCTATAGAAAAATCTTTGTTGTATCTCCATGACAACTAGGGAATGTTAATTAGGTAGCTCAAAGTCCTAGAGAGTTTCCACCTGCCATAGCTTAGTAACACACCATAAATTACCATTGCACTTACATAATTAAGAAAAAACTATCTCTGATAATTTGCTATTACATAGGATATTACATCTATTCAACTCCTTATTTTGCCTCAACTCAGCCAAAGACCGTAGGAAAAAGAGTTTTGAAAAAACAGCAGACTTCCACTGTCTGCCTCTCTGGTTCAACTCCAAATACATTGACCTGGCTGTCTTTGAATGGAACTAAAACTACAGCAGCTAACAAGGTCTGTGTAGGTGAATGATGGCATTTGTCAAAAGGAATAATTTTACTAAGAACAAAAATAAGTATTCCTGCCAAAATCCTCATCTTCACTAACATACACGCTAATGTGAAGACAATGCACCATTCCATGGCTGAGGGCTCTGGAGCTACCACAGCACGTTTTCGTACACAAGTTCCTCACTCTAAGGCTTGAGTGCCCATCACTACATCAGAATATTCAAAAAGTACAGTAAATATTAGAAGTGTGATCATAACAAACCACAGGTCTGTACACAAACATTCTTGAAATCAAAGATGGGGAAAAAAACAAAGATGGGAGAAAGAGAAAACTCCTGATTCCTTACCATTACACTTCATTGCTCTCCCCAGCCTAATAAAAAAGTGAACAAATTAAATCCTGACAGATTTCATATCTGAACTTCAGTGAAAGACACAAAAGATCTGAACTCTGCAAAGAAAACAAGTTGAAGAAAACAGGCCACTGGTATTTTATTTTGGCTCTGAATACACCTCTGTGTTCCAAAAATCTTGAGATCTACAACAGTAACTAACAGGGGTGCCTAGGAGTTGACAGCCACCATTCAGCTGAGCTGCAGGAAATCTGACGGCAGTATCATGCAGCTCAGATGGGACACAAAACCAAAAAGGGGTTGTTTTTTTAAAATTAAAGGCTTCTTACGATATTTTCTAACCTATTCCCCATATCTTCTCAATAGGTTTTTCAAGTTTAACTAAGCCATTCACCCATAGCACAAAATGGAACAAAATCAAGGAATCGTAGAATCATTTAGGTTGGGAAAGACCTTTAAGATCACCGAGTCCACCGTTAACCCAGCACTACGGGTATATGAGGTTGTAGCTTTACTGAAGTATCTACATACTCTTTAGTGAAGATTCCTCGAGGCCCAGAAGGTGTAACGTTGCTTGGGTCTAGTCCATGAGTCTCCAGAATGTTGCGAGCTGCAGGACTTAAGCGAACCCTAAAGAAACAAGGAGAAAAATATGCTATCTAAACAATAAGATTAATTCATTTCATTTACTGTGTATCAAGAGAAAATACCCAATACATGCTCTATTTCAGATGCAGGAGCTGGGGACAAAAGCAGAGTTCTGTACAAAGGCTCTGATCCTTTGTGAGACTGATCCTGACTGATCCTTTGTCTGAACCTGACGTCAGACTGTGCCCCTTCACCAAGCTTTAATGGGAGGTTGAATGTAAAAACACAAGAATGACCTTGAAGAGACCAAAATAAAGAGTGAAAACTCATCTCCAAACTTTCCTCTTACAGAAGCAATACAACATACTTGTGGATTCTTCTGGAATCAGTGAAGAACCAAATATATTTTTTAAGAGCAGCTTGTTACAGCAATGTTAAAAAAAAGTTTTGGGAGCTCAGACAAGAGAGTTGCAAGCTTTATTACATGTACTGAAACACTCTCTTAAACTTCAGCTTAGTAACAGGTAAAAAGGGACAAAAGATACTTCTTGGTTCAGCTCTACCAATACAACTAAAAGAGCGTGCCACTTCCTAACAAACAGAGAAACTCACTGCAGCTTTCCAAGGTGATGTTCCAGTTTAGGAGGGACTGAAACCAAAGGGCCCGCAGGAGCTGAGGTAAGTGCAGGTGCCGGTGGAGCCACAGAAGATGGATCACTACCATCAGCTGGTATTTCAACTTGCTTCCAGTCCTGTCCTTCCTCTACCAGCAGACCAATTAGTGAGCCCAAGCGTACATTTTTGCTTCCTTCTTCCAACTAAATTTAAGGCAATGAGAACATTAAGTTACATATTGTGATGTCTAGACTAATATGACCAAAAAATGGTAGATGTGAAAATTTCAAGCATATTAATGATACTTCATCAAGAAAATATATCCATATATCCCATTTTATTCTTATTAACACGATGACGCATGACAGAAATTAATCACAGTTGGTATTATAAGGTGAGAAATATTAAATTGTGCCCCAAAATCCCACACATCTGAAGTTAGCATCAGAAATCAAAGCAAGCAAGCTACAGACTACTAAGTACTTCCAAGAATAAAGTCACATTAGCTACTGAAAACAACTGTGGATGCCTAATCTTTGAGGAACAGAGCCTGAAAATTTTGCTGGACACATTGAGCAGATGTACCTTTGAGGTACCTGCCCTGCATCTAGTAGTGCTACTTTTTAAAACACAAGCTTGTAAATTCAGAAGCTAAGGGAACAAAGCCAGACCAAAACCCCACAACAGCAGTGCCCCATTACTTCTTTTTGAAAAAGATGACATTCGCTTCCCACTAACTTCCACCTCTGTCTATTTTAACATTAACTGGTGCCAAATAACAGGTCTGTTCGCCAAGAAAGCGATAGCACTTATGTGGTATGTAAATCACTGCCTCAGACACCATCTGAACAACAGTCTTACAGAAAGATAACTACAATCTAACATAATCTAATCAGATTGGATAAGATCAATCTATTCGAGATGTCCCTTTTAAAACAAAAAGATATCCACACCACAGTCAAAATACCCCTTTCATGCTTTGGCAGATAAAGGCACAGCAGCCACTTTAAGTTAACAACCCAACGAAGGGCTCCACAGCAACGTTTCCAGGGCATCAGGCCAAATGTAAAGAGACCTCCAGGACCACAGACAGTCAAATGCAACTTAGACTGCATCAGCCCAATAGAGCTGATTTCCTCACAAAGGAAATGGACATTGCATTTCCACAGTAAAGCCATATTGGTTGTACAGGTGCCTCAAATAGAGCTGGTATGTATCTGCAATGTTGACATCTTACCCAAGAAAATGCAAACCACTATCATTTGAAAAGCCCAAAGACAGACACACAAAATAAAAATACACATAGTATCAGCTATCACACTGTTCTTACTACCTTAATTGCATTTTCTAGACACTTAAACACTAATAAATAAAACAGTGTGCCATAGAGACTGTACTAGGCAAGCATCAGAGCGGTATTACTCGGACATGACTGCTGTCCGCACACCATTAACTCCACTGACCATGTCAGATTTCACAGGGTTTCCTAGCTCCCTTGCCAGGGACCAACACTAGACCTAAGTAGGACCAGCAAAGGCCACTGGTTCTCAGTACGTCCCGATAAAACAGCTCGCATTCAGTTTTGTCAGTTCACTTTCTCCCCCATGAACATTAGGTAAATTCTAGAGCAATACCGCTTCTTTAAGAGGATTCATTACACGAAAAAACGATTTAAGACTTAGTTCACTATTTCCTGTTCTGATCTCTGGGTGCGTTCTTCTCCATTAATATTCCAAAAAGCTTCATTTGAGAGAAGAAAGTCTGAACAGTCCCTCAAGACTTGATCTTATTTTGTTTTTATTGAGATGACTTCAAAGTACTTGGGGACGACAGAACACCAAAAGTCCTAAACTGCTTTGTCTAAGGCTGCACGATCCCATCACAGAAAGGCCCACTGATCAACAGATGGTACTGCCACTCACAATCAAACAAAACAGCAGCTTGAAAGCAGTACAAACACAACCTACCTAACCTGGTCACTGAAACACAAAAACTGGGAAAAACAAAAGAAAACAAAGCTATAAACATATGAAATACTGAAGTTACTCCAACAATTTTACAGCATTATCATACTTAGCACTGAACAAGGTATTTAGAGAACTATGTTTATCAGCATAACACCCAGATGTTTGATCCACACCAATGATGATGCAAAATAGGTATGTTTCCCAAGTTCAAGACACTCCCTGTAAGATATTAATATGCAGCAGTTAACTTTTTTTTTCCAAAATAAGAATAAACCCATTTTTTGGCATGTCTACTCTTTCCTTTACAAAGGCTTGCACGTACACCACTCACATTTATAAGCCATCTACAGATGGTAACTGAATACACCAAGAAGCACGGTGACATGCTTGGGGTGTCAAGTCCTCACCACAGCTCTGGTGTCTGGGAGCTTTAACAGATGCTGCAATAACACACGCAGAAATCCAAAGGGGACAGCTGAGCCTTCAGAACCTTAACACACACTGACATTAGGTAGGCTTTGTTTGTAACTCAGCGTTACAGGAGCATCTGAAGACATCAGTGCTGTAACTCGCACTCTTCAGAGCAAACCAGTTGTTTTTCTCACATTCACCACTCCAAGACAGTTATGTGAAAACTACAGCATTCCTTATTTGCCCATACAACTTCCCAGCCCAGATGATGCAGAGTTTACACTTTTAAAAAGTGTAGACACGTATTTTTTTTTTTTAAAAAAAAAACCATGTTTTTAAACATACAGCCTTGGCAGCTCAGAACTAGAACAGAGAACGAAAAATTGTTATTTTGCTTAGCTTTTCATCTCCTGGGTTTTTGAGTCACTTCTACATTTTCACAATTCACAATACCAGGAAACACCTCTGCATAAATCTCAATGAAACCCAGAATCTCAGATGCAAAAATAGCTAAAATAATTAGCTTCACAATACTTCTATTACTGCCTGTACGCATAGTCAAGAACAGTCAAAAAGGTCCTAACTTTGCTGACAAACCAACAAAGCACAGGTGAGCCATGAGAGGGAGAAAAATTGGAGGAGATTAAGTGCACAGGGGAATAAAGTTCCCTCAGAGCTGCTGTCACTGCAGTACAGTGCTTCAGTCATCAACAGGCAGGTACCAAAGTAGATGTTTATTGCCTACACTGGTGGCAATAAAGGTGGATGGGACCTACACTGGCTCGCTCTGCAGGGGAAGTTCTACTCAAAGTAGTTTCAGTTCATACCAATTCTCATTTAGGTCACAAATAAGAATACAGTAATGGATATTAAATCCAGTTCTTAAACAATCATTCATCATCTGGTTTTGGTCCAAATTGAGCTACTAAGTATTTTAGGCAAAAAAGCCAGCATTAATTTAAGAAGTGACTCTACCAAAAGAATAATTGCCATTCTGAAATTACCCCTCTGACACTGTCATTGAGTCATTTAATCTTTCACTGCATTTTACACTGAATCAGATGTGATCATTACAAGGCCTATTCAGAAAGAAAAGGAACGGATGCACAAGTACCTATGTTACTGTTAGCCTGCTCCTTCTTAAACCACATTTACTTATACAGTTAAGAAAAAACAGGAAGGGCTACCAAAGTTGAATTTATTTAATCTAACGAACCCTCTACCTTTAAAGGTAACAAACAAAGTGTTAGGCAGATAGTGTGTTTATCTGACTCAGTTTTCCATACTGAACTCAGTCAAGATGCTGCAGAATGGTAGCTGGCATCAAAGAATGTAAAATTCTGGCCTCATTTATTTTCGGAAGTGAGTAAGCTTCAGCCAGGTGCTGATAATTCAGACGCACCAAACATTATTGATCTCCCATCAACTATATCACATCTGAAACTTCGGAGTGGCCTTTGGAAGGACAGTATTTTCAGTAAGAAATCATCTCCCCATCCACAAACCTGAGACATCTTAATGTTAGAAATCTTACCTTACACAAATAACTACTGAATGTCCAACACAGTGCAGAAATATCCACAGGATACTACAGAAAGACTACTAAGGATCACACTTGAACTAGGAAAAAACAAGTCAAAATTTCTGCTCTTATCACTCCCTTATTATTTCAGTTTCCAAAACATCAGGTTTCTTCTGTGCTTTTTAGGGGACCGGAATAAAAGCCTATTTGTGTATCTATCCTGAACTCTGGTACTTAAGCCCATTATTTCTAGATTACAGTAACGTGGATGAAAAGAATCCACTAAAGATCGGGTTTGCATATTAATCTGTTCTTGTTACTCCAATAAAGCTGCCTCTCTTCCCTTAATCTGAAGGGCAACATAGTCATTTTCCAGCTCCTCACATCTCCTTCTCAAACTCAGCTCTGGCATACGACTGTTACTGGATGACACGGGTATCGGCCAAGGCTGAGCGTCACTGCTCCTTACAACGATCTCACATAGTTGCTGGAGAGGCTGGTTTAGATCTACCAAAAATGTGCCACAACAGCAGTACGCACAAATAAATTTTGGAATACAAGACAGGAAACAGAAAAAAAACACAGCTACTGAAATACTAACGCTACTTGTAGTCACCGTGCATTAGTACTAAAGAAACTTGGAAACTCCACATCGGAGTCTGCTGTTCTTTTCTTGACGTCTCTCTGGGAACCACTCTTTAATACTTCTGACAGAGACAATCCCCCACATACCCTTCACATAACCTAACAAAGCAACATCAGTAAGTGCAGAGGAGGTTGCACAACTTATTGTCAAGGCTGCAAAATAATTTTCAGAAGCATTCAAAATTGAAGAGGAGAGACAGAAAATACTGAAAGCATTATTCACTCAGCAATTATTAGAATAGCTATACGGAGACTAACACCACATTTAAACATGTCTGATGTGAGATGTTGTCCTGGGATAGCAGAATAGATTCTCTGAAACTTGTTAGATGTGCTGTTCCACAGCTGAACACAAAAACTCAAAAGTTTCAAGGTGCTACAAAAAATTTAATATCTGGGGAATAATTATTTAGCAATGTAAAATTAAAAGGAGAAAAATATTTACAAAACTCTTCCTCTTATTTCAGTCTATAAAGTCCTGATGAGGCTTTAGCTAGAACATTTAATCCAGTTTAGAGCACCATTCTTCTAAGACAAATTTTGAAAGAGAGCTTGAAAGGTTATAACAGAACAAAAGAGAATTTTGAAACAACCCTTCGGGTACTGAAGAACTCAAGCTTTTGCAAACTTGCAAAAGCAAATACCTTGGAGAGATACGTTAAGAGACTTCCAGTACATTAATGACTGTGATAAATGGAATAGTCATCAGCTGCAATTTGTGGCCACTGCATCAAGAGAGTAAGAAAGACAGTTTACTTCTGTACAATGATTCATTTTTGATGATCGAGAACATATTTTTTCTAAATGCAAATACAGAATGCTGTCAACATGTAAAGAGTCTGTCAGCAAGTGGTCTAGTTAAATCTGAGCTGCTGGCAGTGCCAGAGGCTGCAGTGATGAATGGCTTGTCCTTTTCTAACCTAGGTACCTACACTACAGCTCCTTGACTCTGCACCATACACTGCCAAATGTCACCCCTTTTTACACATTCTGATCACACTCTGGTCTTCTGTATTCTCTTCCAGGGTTTTGCAGTTAACTAGTTAAGTCAATATCCATCCTTTTTATAACTACAAATATAGCTAAGTGCTAAACCCAAAACCTGCAGTATCTTCCAGGGAAATTTAACTAGCAACACTTGTGGCCACACCAAAACTTAGTAACTACAGCCTTCAGAAATAGTGTAAGATTTCTGTGGAAAGCCAGCCCCCCAGTTTTTGGTTCTTCTTCCTGTTTTCTACATCAACTTAGCTTGATTGTGAAATTTCTGTATCACACACAGTGAAACAATGGAATACAGCTAACATCAAGGAACACAGCAAACATCAAGGAAACGGACATTTAAATTCCATGCCTATTTAATTTTTCAGACAACGGTATCTCTTCATAAATCCCTTTGAATTTTGACTGAATGCCACTAAGCTTTAAACAGCCTCATTACTAACAACTGCATCTATATAAACCAACATTTGCAGGGCAGCATCCAATACACTTTGTTTAGCGTGGAACTACAAAAACAGTCCCATGGCTCCACGGAGTTATTAGATAAGCATTCACACTCAAAAGCATGACTGATATGGTGGGATATCATCTCCACAAAGGGATTTAGAGTACTGAGCAGAGTTAGAAAATTTTCAGACCTCTTACAGCTATTAATTGACCAAAAGATATGATCACATGGAGCTAAAATGGATAGAGAACACCTTTTTTTTTCCAGAAGAGGTATGGATTAGTTAAAATCTTGACGTAAGCTTCAAGAAATCATTGCTTTGTGCTTACACAACGTTGCATACTAGAACTAGAAATACTTCTAACTTCATTTCACCTTAAACACAGTGGAATTCTTATTACTTCTTCCTGCATTACAGATGCATTGCAGTCTACAAAATACTTCTAACCTGATACTTGACCCCTATATATTGGGAAGGGGAAAGATTCTATAGCTTAAAAGGAACCTCACATTTAATTTTGAAATTTTCCAACCATCAAGAGGTTCTGAAAAACTGTTTTAGGAAAACACAAACAAAATTGGTATGCAGATCATGAGCTGATAACCCTTTAAACAGATCAGGCAAAACAAAAATAATCATTTTAAGAGTATTACCTTTCATGTTACCACTTTAAGATGGCAAAAATATTTTTTATCACAGAACACAAAGGATCTCAGTGAAAAAAAGCCAACAAAGAAGTGTCTCCCTAGTTCATGTTAATAAGCATTCAGTGAACAAAAACCGAAATTCAGTTTTATTTACAGCTCCATAAAAATTACTTTTGCCAATTAAAGTTTCAAATTAAAGGCTGGATCTCTCAGTCAGGTCTTACTATTGGTGCAAGAGGGGTTTTCTTCTCTGTTCTGTTTTGGGGGGTTGGGGTTGGGTTTTTTTCCTCCCCTTCTTCCTATCACAAGGAGGGTTCTGCTCCAGACAGCTTTTCACCAGGGTTTGGATCTGTTCTCCTAGTGGGGAATTCTGCGACTGCAGTATCTTCACTCTAAACCGCCACCTCTGTTCAGCCAAGAATTTTCCCTTTCTAGCTCATTCCACTCATCTTGTTACATTTTACTTCTCAATGTCTACGTTTTTTCCACTCCCTTCTCTCCCAACATAGATTGAACTGAAGATTTTGACAAAGGGTTTCATAATCTATTACACATATGGCAAAAATATTTATCATAATTTGTTATTTATTTTATTCAAAGTTCTTCCAATTCACCCTATTGTTTAATTACTGAGGAGGGAGGGAAGAAACAGCTGCAATACTCCACCAGCAGAGACACGAAACTGTTCTGAAAATTTCAGAAAGTGAGAAGCTTGGGAGAGAAAAGCACAAGAAACGAAGAAACAAAATTCTAGTCCTCCCAAGAAAGCCACAATGACGGAGTCTCTTGAGGGTAAGGACAAAGACTATAATTTACATGTGTTCTTTTCTTTCAAATGAGGTATAGACTAGTCTATAAGCACCATGACAATTTGGAAAATGTGGTTTGCAACAAAAAGTATATTACAGCTTTATTAATGATTTCCACACACGAGAACAGCAAATAATACAAATTATTGTATTGCTGTAAAGTCAAACTCTCAATCAGCACAATTTCTGTGTACGTACCATTTAGTCTTTAATAATGTGCTCACTTGTATTTCTTCCATTCTCTATGAAGCTATATCTAGACTGTACAAAGAGATGGAGTTTCATCTCTAGGACATTCCTGCATCATCATTTTTTCTAGCCTTTCACTTATGGTTGGTTGGAGTTTTTTATGATATAAAAGGTATACAAGGAACGATGCAAAGAACTGAAAGGAAAGCATCAAAGACAACTGAATCTTGTTCCAGAGAGCTGAAATTTAGTCCTTTCTGTTACTGAGTTCCCACACAATACAGGGGCAAGTCACTTAAAACCAGACTTTTCATATGAACATTAGTGGCACATTCTTGAACGCAGGAGTTGAAACTCTGATGTTGAAGTACGAAAGCTTGCAGTTGAAGCTACAACAGTCTTTAAATACAAAGCCCAACTAAGACAAAAGCCGTCTAAGTTCACTACAAGATGGTAAGAGTTGCACCACACAGCTGCATAGACATGCATCCCCTCTGCACCAAAACCTGCTGGGCTGTGCCTAAGTAAAGGCAAATAGCCAGGCCTGCTGCAGGGTATTCGTTTCATGCCAGGTTCAACAGCACCTTGTAGAGGCACTTGGTTGGCCAAGCAACTGGGCGTTGTGCAAGAGTAAGGAGCCAGAGAAAGGCAAACACTGCAATGCTGGAAACCCAAGTTATTAAGCAATGCTTCCAGACACACAGGATCCTTTGACTAAAAGAATACAGGATGAATGAATAGTCCGGGAACAACCAAGCCTGACACACTGCATACCAAAGGGTCTGTCAAACACTCTCAGAGTTAAGCTAAAATAACAGTGCTAACACTCATTTTAACGTATCTACCACCAGAAAAACGTAAGCAGCCACGCAGTGATTCAAGTCAGTTTCCTCAGCATCCAATGGCTTTAACACTGCAAAGTATTTTGTAACTTCTGGAGACACAAGAAGCTCTTTATATATCACTGTACCCATTAAACCCAAGAACTATTGTGCTGCAGAACCCTGTGTTCCCATTTAGCTGCCTATTTGACTGCCCAACTAGGTTTTCTACAATTGTAATTGAGCAAGCTGTTTTATCTTCACCAAACTGCAAATTCATTGCAAAATCATATTTAAGATTATCCATGTTTATCTACCTGATTTCTAAAAGGGAAAAAGAAAAGATAGCAGTGTTCTTGTTGGAAGTGCTAGAGGCTGACAGTTTAAGTCTTCACAGGATAAATAAGAGAACTCCACAGATTTGGATGTTGTTTGGGGAAACTTATAAAGAGTGGTGAACATTAAAAGGGAGGGAAAATCCTTTCCCTGTCTTTATATACAATTAATAACAACTTTCATTCCCCTCCCTAAACTCTAAAATACATTTGCCATTATACATATTTAATGGACAAGAAATCTAGTCTCCCTTAATTTTAAGCATCAAACATGAGCTTTCAGAAAATGTAAAATGTACTTTTACACAGAAGCAGCAAGAGAAGGCCTCAGAATTACAGCCCCACCCTTCTAAATTCTGATGGGAATTAACATCAGGTCATTTTGAAATAAGAAACATTTTTTTTAAATGTTAGAAAAGAGGAGGAGAAAAGAAAAGATACAGAATCTGACTTAGAATACACTATGTAAAGAACAGCACAGGACTCGCTAGCAGACCTTAAGCAACGCAGGGTTAGAACTAAGTCTCTCATCCTGATCACTGTAGTCCAGCTGTTATTGCATCCACCTTGGTACAGAACAGGATTCTGTAGCCAAACATAAACGAGGAACCCAAACAGAGTATTATCTCTGTTACATATGCACATACACACAAATACTCTAAAATGATGTTGAGAACTTCACGTTCCTCTCAGTTCTCATTCTTTGTATTAAGCTTAATCAATCTAATTTTAAGAATGTCACAAATTAATAATTCTAAGAATTGTCCTCTGGGTCATCCCATCTTGTATAAAGTTCTATCTTCAATGGCCAGCTAACTGACTGTAACTTGGTTTTCTGTAACTCAAAGTAAGAGATGTCATAAACTGCAGTATTTCATGGACATAATTCATAAGGTGCAAAACATACGAAACAATTCAGTCAGGTTAACTGAAAATCCATTAAGCACATATAGAATCATGTACCATGTACCAGTAGCCTGGCACGCATACAAAATAAATTAATATAAATAGAGCAATTATTTCTCACTAGGAACACAAGTAAGTGCATTATTCTGAAAGCTGAGCAGGACGTTCAGCTATCTAAACTAGCTTTTGAAGCAATATGCTAAAGGACAGTCTGAAGAAAAGCTGTATCATCCCCCCAAAGGCAGAATCCCTACCAGTATCTTAGCCAATATGCCATCGTCACTGGATTCCATGGTCACCACTGCTTTGTCCGTTTCAATTTCACACAATGCATCTCCAGCATTCACCGTCTCACCTGCAAAACAGAATCGAATTTAAGAATACTTAGCCTAAACTGCCTTTCAGGTCTGTTTGACCAGGGATGATACTTATCCACATAATAATGTTACATTCTCTGATATGTTCTACAGCTAGTTGATCTCCATCACTATGTACCATATTGTATCTTTCATTTCCACATACCAACCCTAAGATTCAGAGAAACAAACCACTGCAGCAGAACGTATTGATGTTTACAGCAGGTTTTCCAAGAGGAAGCACACACACAATTAAGTTAGCTTCCAGAACACTGTCAATCAGTAACACTGCCATGTCCTGAACCTTCCACATTCATTGCTGGCCATAAGTCACAGCAAGCCATTTAGAACTGTAATTTTTTTAAGACAACGGTCACCGTCAACATCTTTAACTATCACAGTTCTTTAGTTTGTATCTACACGATTAAAGAACCCAAACAGAAACCTCAGGAACTTTAATCTCTTCGGAAAAGATGTCTGCATGCTTGTTTGCTCCATCGCCTGTACAGTTAAAGTTCTTTTAGAAACATGCCTATTTTGTGAAATAAAAATATGTGCAAGTGTTAGAAATTGCCTTCGCTACACTACCCAAACCTATGACTAATTCTGAAGTATACTCTTCCTCTTCTGTTGAAGAATAACATGCTATGACATAACAAAGATATTATGGGTCTGGATTCTTTCAACTGATCAATATTAATTGGATAGCCAACACTAAAATTGAAATTACAGCCAGGATTGGAAAGAACACTTCAGCAGAGCCTATCTTTGCTCTTATGCTTTCTAATGAGAGCAGTATTTGCAACAGAAGTTCCCTGAATGACAGCTCTCTGAGTTTATAGATAATGCCCTTGAAAAACCTCAGGTGGGGTTGGTTCGGGTTTTATAAAATTATTAAGTTCTTATAGCTAGGCTGATCGATTAGGTTCTCTTCTGCAGCCCAGTTTCCTTCTAGGAGATCACATCCCACTGGCGCTCAACACATGCTCCACTCAGTTACTCACAGACAAGTATCTAAAGCACAAAACACAAACCACGTCCCTTGACGTTCCCTGCAAATCCAGTCAAAGTTGACTGACATACCAGGAGGTGGTGTCTCAGAAGGCAGCAGTTACACTGCAGGAGGAAGCTCCTCGCACTGTTGCCTATTCTGTTTCCTGCCCACAATAGCAAGAGGATTTCTGTCTCCTGGGCTGTCAATTTATCATCTTTCAACAACATTAAATTCATACATAACAAATACAAGTTTTTAGAAACACAGTTTTATTTTTATGAGAACATCTTTATTACCCACAGGAATCAATACACATTAACAGTGAGAAGTAAATAGTAAAGCTGTCGGTTAAATTCAGCATTTTGCCTTCTGTAGTACCAAAATCATCCGTCCATCCTGTGAAACCGTAGAATGAAAAAATTTGACATTTACAGAAAGATCAGAAAAATTATTCCAATAGTATTCTTCTGACCCCTGCTGGTTATACAATAGGAAAAACATTTCACATGCAATCAGCAGCTTTCTTCAGTCAATTGCTTTAAAAGATGTATGTTCTTGGACCTGAGATCAAACACTCATTTGTTACACTCACGTAGTAATGCCACTACATTTAGGGGCCAGCTCACTGGAGGCTTAGGTAGTTATGAGCATCCCTTGCAAAGAGGAGCATAAGCATTACATCACTTTGCTTTTCTCTTCAAAATTTGTCTTCACTTTTTTTTTTTTAATGTTGCCATTATGTTTATTTTTCAGACTGTCAGAGGAAAAAAAATAGCCATAGGAACTAGTTATGGTCACAGATGTGCCACATAAGACAATGAACTATATTCAGGTTTGTCTTGTTTCCAACCAGAAAGGAGAGCAACGGAAATCCTAAAACAGTTTTCTCTCAAAGTCCACACCATCAATTAAGATTTTATTTTAATTTAATTTAAATAGCTGTGAAGCTCGGGTTTTTTCCCCTCCTTTTCTGTGGGGTGGAAGTGTAGTGAAAAGACTGAGAAAAACCATTGTACAGCTGTTGCATCCTGAGACCTTTTTACAAGGAAAACTGATTCCCTCATGTTGTGGAGCAAACTGGAATCTACTTCAACTCCTGTCGTGCTCTCTTCTTTGCCTTCTTGTGCAATTTCGGATGCTATGTTTATTGTAAAACAGACTACTGTTGACTTTTAATGTCTTGCTGTTATTGACAACAAATGAATAGAAAAAGGACTCTGGATTGTTCCATTCTCTCGGCGTAATCACGGACTTGATACTTGACTAACTGAAGCTTCGAGTTTCAAGAACATCGGTGCAATCACAGGCATAGACTGCCACATTGTTCCTAGTAAATCCTGCAGAAATTCTTACTAGAAGTTTTACAAGCAAAAGGCCACATCCACTACTGCAGCAATGAGTTGGCCTCCTGGCCTCCTCTCAAAACTTATAAAAGCAAAGTACTTCAATAACACAACGATGGAGGCTGTTTCAACATCTAGAAGGTGAGCCAAAGGGAATGGCTTATCCAGTCAAAATAGGCAAAACACACACTTAGCTTACTGAACGGCGTCTGTCAAAGATCACATGCTTTAAGAGATTTCCTTTTCTCCAAACGTGTTCATCTCTTTAGCAAGTCTAAAAATGTCCAAGAACAAGATACATTCCTACAGTCACCTAAACTTTGCAAAGCATCCTATACCAATGGACAACCGCTACCTGGAATCCAAAACTACAGTTGAAATCCAGTTTTAATATTAAATTGGAGAGGAAAAAGGGTAGGAGGAGAGGTGAGATAGGTCTCCTGACAGGACAGGGACTGCCAATTCTTCTGCAGATCATTTTTCATTTACACACAGCCTATGCGAAGACAAAACATACACTCAGACTAATTCTCTAAGTGCTGCAACATATTATAACAGAAGTACATTACTTTTCAGTTATCAGAGCACAAAGAACCTAGACAACGAAGGTTGGTAGAGCTTTTTTTGGAGGAGTAGTTTGAGTTTTGTTTTGGATTGCGTTTTTTTCTGGAGTGAGATTTCCCCATCTAGAACTCAGTTTATGAAAGAAATTTAAATTTTTCTATCAGCTTTATTTGTAGGCTATAATTTACATATTTAAAAAAGGAGGCCCTGAACAGCAACTGTAAAAATACCATATCTTTCATGTTATTTCGTAATGCAGCACAATAATGAAATAGAGACCCTCCACAAAGGGTCTCAGACTTCCAAAGTTACTGATCAGTGTAACAACATCGGGAATTAAAAACACCACACACTCTCGCCCTGGAACAGCCAAATGGAAATTTTTACAAAAATATGATCACTGCAACCTTTTAGAAGGCAACTAAAGAACAAACGTTTCAAGAACCAAGGATTTCAAAACAGGTATTGCTCAAGAAGACAGCATCCACATACCACACATTTTGCTTCAGAATGCTAAGGTAGAACCAGGAAGAATGATCGTATTCTTACAGAATGGATTTACACAGCTGAAGAATTACAACAAATGTGGCCACAGAAAAGGCTATCTTACCTTCCTTTTTTAACCATTTCACAATGTTTCCTTCTTCCATTGTAGGAGAAAGTGCAGGCATGAGAATTTTCACACCAGGTGTACCTGTAAAACAAGCACATCATTATCTAGACTAAATACTTCTTCAGTGTATTTTCTCAGTTAACTGCCTAACACAAAAGAAACTACAAGTGCATCAATCTGAAAGACAGTTGAACTAAAGATTCACTGTGATGCTCTTTTTTCAAGCTTACATAAAAGCACACACTCCCAAGAGCACCAAGAAAAACAAGGCATTAAGTATCGAACCTATATGTTACACAGAGAACAAGAGCCAACTCGAGTGTGAAGTCATAAATAACAGAAAGTATTAAGCAAATTAAACTCTGTCCTAAGTAAAAATATGATACAGAAACTTTGGATCTGATGAAGACAACTTTAGATACTCACACACTGTTCCAGTTTTGATTCAATTAACTTTAATGGAAACATTCTCCACAATCAAGCCTTAGTGCGTATTAAAAATTCACAAACTATTATTTCAAGTACCCCTCAGTTCAGCCTGACCTACTGAACAATCCTACAGAGGCGGCAAGCAAAACAGGGTTATAGAACTTCTGTCCAACAGAAACGGAACAGAAAAAATGTATAACTTGGAGCTCTGTGGGAAAATAACAGAAGGTTGGCGAGGAGGATCATAATGTAACTCAAGTGACTTACACCTGGGATGTCAAAAACCACATACCACACACACACAAAAACACATATATCACATTAATTGTTGTCTAGCTCTATGTGTGTGACAAGCAGACCATCTGTGTCTAGGTAACGTAGGCCTGTGATAGACTCAGAGGCACCTTATTGAACATGCTTAGGAGTCCTGCCCTGCTGTGGGAAAGATCAAAGCCCAGTGCAAAGCTACATCTGCAAAAATCCCTGATACATGGGCGAAAGCAGTACGTTTGAAAGTTTTTTCACTCTTCAGTGAGGAAGGAGCTCCGCGGTGCCTGTGGCCCCACTTGGGTGCCACTACAGAGAAAACAAGAATGAATTCACTCTTTGCATTTTGTCCATGGTTTTGTGGTTGTTCCTGCGTCTGGCTTGTGTCAGCTCACACAAGCTCCAACTACACAGCAGCTACCAGGCGTAGAATGAAAAAGCAGCTATAAAGTACAAAAATGCATTAGAAAAAAAAGCAGCAGCTCGCATGAAGCTGTGATTTCATTTTTTTTTCTTTATTATTCCCCCCTCACCCCCAAAACACCCTACATTTCAAAGCTGAGCCAGCTAATAACCCTGTGTCTTGTGTATCAGGGGCATATGTACCAAATCAAACCACATTTCTCTTTTGGGGACTTTCCACACACGGCCCTGCACACACTTAGCTCTGCCCTGTCAGGGTCTCTCTGAGCAAAACCTTAGTTAAAATCATGTGCCACAGCCTCTCATTCACTCCAGGGCACAAGTGAATGGACTAGTCTCAAAGACTTGTCCTCTCTTTTCCTGCTCGCTTGGCAGGCGACGACATGTGACCATAAGAGCTGTCAGGCAGAAGCAAGCCCAGAGGAGAGCACACACACAGACACAGACAGACGCACACATACCTCGATCCTCAAGAGACCAAAACTGCCGCCATCACGAGAAATCTGGCAAGAGATATGTCTACGTTCCCTGCTGATGAACTACATGACGTACTACAGAGGACAGTACAACTCCACCCACAAATTCCGCAGTGGTATTGACCAGTTGTTCTCCCTAGTTCTGCAATACGTCAGCAGCACGATTTGGAAGGTATGAGCAGAGCACCAGCCAGGCAGGCATCTCCTCTTCTGTCTCACAGTACTTATCCATCTCCAGGCTTCTGGCCACGGGCACGCAAGCATGAGAGCAAAGCAGGGTCTAAGTGTGCAGAATGTACCCAGCCAATTGCCAGAATCCTTTCCGACGCCAACCGAAGGCTAGATACTTGTACCTTTCTTGCAGAAATCACAAGATTCAGGATGTTAGAAGTGTGTGTGTGTGTTTTGAGACTCGTAACATAGAAATCTCACCAGGTGGTTACAGTTTAAAAAACCAGAGAATCTTGAAACCTGCTAGGCACCAGTGATACTGCTTGGAAATCCCCTTACTTTTCCCATCTTGATTTGAGTATCAAGAGTTCTAATTAGTGGATATTAGTAGGAGAGACTAATGATTATTTTGGGAAGATAAGTCTCAAATGGAATAAATGATCAAATATAAAATAAAATCTGTATTGCCAATGCTGCTAGCATACCTCTGTAAAGTTCCAGACCTAAGGTATTTATTAACCAATAATCTATTAGTGGATAGAAACAAGGAAAATATGTTATAGTCCAAGATGTCTGCTAGATAGGATTTACTATGGTACTCACTGTGTATAATCTTTGAATCATGACCAAAGTAGATACGAGCCAAGAGCCTGCGAGTCAAGGACATGTTCCTCAACCATACACATCAATTCAAGGAGTGGTCGAGACCTCCGACTTACCCAAATTATACCACCTACTCAAAAGAGAACAATAGAAGACTACGACAGAGGCTGCGCACTAATTTACACCAGAAGCGAGAAAAGAAGAACCAATCATTGAGAGAACGATAACGAATATGCATTGTATAGACTGAATATGTATGAATTTAATATATAAATATTTGTTGATTGCAACATGCAGGCGGACATCTTTGGGAAGGATCCCATGTCCCTGGTGCATATCATTCTCATCATTAATAAAGGACGTCTCTACTTACCTACCTTTGTGTAGATAAGTTTTTCTTACCACTGCAGATTTGCAACACCTTGATTACGACCTGTGTCTTAATGCTGAATTGCGATATTAAGAGCAAGCCAAAGCAAAACATGTAATCCCACTCCCCCAAAGTTCATACACTAAAAACCAGAAAAAAATAGACCAGAAGTTTCATTTGCCTTATCAAAATCCACTACAAACACTACATCCTCCTTTCCCCTCTCCTCCTCTTTGCCACAGGCTGTGGAATTTTTTCCAGGTGACAGATTAAAGCTTTTCTTTTAAATTAATAAAGCCCCCCTGATCCTAGTACTCCAGACACTGATGAACCTCCTCTTCCACTGATAAACTTTCCCAATGTTTATTTGTCCTTTCTGCTAGGAAACTACACCTACTTTACAGACTGAAATTGCCTAATTTCAAGTTTCAGTGATTGGATCTTATGTCTCTGTTAAAAAGCTTGAAAGACGTCTCATTACAGAGATCTTTCTCATGGTGTCTATATGCAGAGACCAGGTAAATCCTTAGCTTGTTCTCTCTTTTGACAAGCCAAATAAGAAGATCTGAAAAGCCTGATGTCTTCAAGCGACACAAGACCAGCACCTCCCTGTCCCTGCAGCACCGAGCACCAGACACAGCCAGCCAGTGGGTCACCCAGCCTGCCCACGGCCTAAAGCCGCGCACCGAGCGCCCATACAGAGGGCACAGCATCAAGCAGCATGCCACCGAAGTGGGAGTCTTCTGGGGACAGGGCTCAAGATATGGCACACTCCTCGCCTTCATGGCACATCACATCTCTGCCATTTGACCCAGTACACTGAAGTAGCACCCTGACATACAGCTTGTAATACAAGAGATACTGTCTTTCTGAACTTTTAAGGACAGGTATGAGGCAAAATAAATGTATCTTTCTATTTTGTAAGAGGAGTTTTCCAGCACCTGACTGATTTTTGAGGCTTCTCGGTTTAACATTACTCATTACTGTAATGCTTACAAACATATCCTGACGATGTTCCTTGTTACACTGGCCATTCCCTCCAAGGATTTTCTTTAAAAAGTTGCTTCTTGTTGTCGGGGATAACCTGACTGAGGAAGATGAAGTTGACCTTGACAGCATTCCAGTATACCCTTGAGAAGATGAAAGAAGTGGATGAAGAATGTTGTAAACAAGTCTGAGGAAGTGATAAGAGACTGAGCAAGAAAAAACTGAACAAGTAAATACCACAGAGCAGCAACTTGGCAAGACAACAGTATATAAAGTGGGAAATACAGTAGGAGCTTCAGCCAATCAGTGTGTGAATAGAGGTGAATGGACAGAGCTATTGAGAGAACCATTTTAGTAGCCTTAGTGCATGAACAGGTGGACAGATAAGAAAGGTTATAAAAGGGTACGTTTTTTCTGCTGCGCCATCTCGGCCATCTTGGCTTTTGCAACTTAATAAAGACTGCCTTCTTACATATATTTTTGTCGTTGTCCATCCCTACCGCAACATCTTGCAACCTCTCATCTTGGACCAATACACAGAGAAATGAACTATGCTAAGAACAGGTGTTATTCTGTGAATACCTATCAGTGTTCATTCACAAGTCATGTTCTGCCTACTATCACTTTTCAAGCACTACAAATTAAAGCATGAGTTCACAATTTTCTTTACGCTGTATGTGTTCACTCAAAAAAAAAAGATAACAGCAAACAGACAAGTCAACTTTGACAATCCAAACATGATCTTGAAGTCATATCCGACAAATATCTAGGACTACCTAGAACTAGCAGCCATACTCCACTGAAAAAAGCAAAAGCATTCCAGATCGGTAGTCAGGAAAACATATAGTGGTTCTCGTGTTTCACTTCACTGAAGAGTCACTTGATCCATTTCCCAGAATATGCTCCACACTTCAGCATAAACACAAATTTGAGCAACAAATTTGTGCCACTGTAACATTTTCCCCTTCATGTTATGAGCAACTACCACAAAACATACAGTCCATTCTGGTCCTTTCATCAAGTTAGGAGAGAAGATCCAGCAGTAACTACATGTGAAGAGCGTAAAAAATAAATAAATAAAACAGGATACAAAGCAAAAGGAAGAATCCAAAAATCAAGGCACACATCAAATCTGAAAAGGTGAAGCTGCCGCGTTCTATACTACTGTGTCCCGCTGCAAGAACGGTACCTATGGCTGAGGAGCAGCACTCAGACGGGCCATGGCAGTACGTGTCTGTGCCTTTAGAGCCAGCGTAGAGGCTAGCAGCTTCTCAGGCGCTTCACGACTTATTACCAACAGTCACACTAAAACAAAATCACACCACACAGGATAAACCCACTTGCGACTAGATAAA